AGCAGATGTGCTCTCAGTGTGCCGTGAAACCTCAAATCTTTCTTTCCCCATCATTTTCCCTCTTCTGTTTTGACTCAACTATTGTATGAACAATTCTATGCCTAATACAATTATAAACATCAATTTTATAGCTTCCCATACAAACAACTTGTTGGGAGGTATCGGTTTCTTGACTTGAGGTCCCCAAAAATCCACCATGGTGTTCTGTTCACCATCAAAACTTACACCAGTTTCATTCACAATCATTTTAAGCTTTCTGTTCTCTACATTTGTTGTGGACTTCCATGTTTCCTCTCTAGCCTTGGATCTCATCCTCTCTGCTCTTCATCCCAGTTGTTCATAAGGTTAGTTAATTGAGAGTCTGCGTTGTTTGGCATCCCTGAGACACTTTACAGATGCATCTGGGTTCTGTTAAAGGGATCTCTCCTTTCTTCACTAGAGCAGCTGGACAGGTCCAGTGGGAAGACCCCCGAACTTGTTATCTGAGGCTGAAGAAGAGTAGGAGTGAGAAGAAGAGTGAGGGTAAATGAGGGGAGAGAGGAGAGGTCACAGCTACATGTGAAATCTCTCAGACCCAAAATGGACAGCATTGTGGAACAAGAAAATTGACATTTTGGACAATTCTCAGTTGCTTAAGGATCATGCAGAGAGGACATGTCGACCAGGCACTTGGAGGCACTGCATGGAAAAGAACTTGCCGTCATAATTCTCGGCAATGAGGCTTGAATGTAGATGACTGAGTAGTTTATATTTATGTTATGTAATATATAGCAGAACAGATACTGTGAAAAAGCTGTCCACTTGTATTGAATTAGTCCAGCAATTTTAATACATTTCATCGGCCCTACAAAAGAGTTAAGAATTAGTTTTGTGAATAAAGCTTCATTTCAAAGCCTAGAACAAAGTTCATTCATTCATTCATTCATTCATTCATTCATTCATTCATTCATTCATTCATTCATTCATTCATTCATTCATTCATTCATTCATTCACAGCCCTGCAAACTTATTGTCATGCCTAATACACTCTCAGAAAAAAAGGTACAAAAGCTGTCACTGGGGCTGTACCTTTTCAAAAGGTACACTTTTGTACCCAAGGGCTGCATATTGGTACCTTAGTGGTACGTATTATCACCTAAAATGTCCATATTAGCACCTAAAATGTACATATTAACACTTAAAATGTACATTAGCACCTAAAATGTACATATTAACACTTAAAATGTACATATTAGCACCTAAAATGTATGTATTAACACCTAAAATGCACATATTAGAACCTAAATTGTTCATATCAACACTTAAAATGTACATATTAGCACATAAAATGTACATATTAGCACCTGAAATGGACAAAAGTGTACCTTTTGAAAAGGTCCAGCCCCAGTGACAGCTTTTGTACCTTTTTTTCTGAGAGTGTAGAGTTGAATTGGACACAGGAATGTAATTGTCAAGAAATGGACAAAACCCTGTTATCCCTGTCAGTAGAAAATATACTAAATACACTGCCTTGAAGCTGAAGCAGAGATCAGTATTTTTGAGTCACAGTTATAGGATTATAAATAATATTATAATTATTGTGAAGGGGGAGTGAATGAGAAAATGTGAGAAAGATGACTGGGGGTGGATAGAGAGGGAAAGTCAGAAGGTGAAACATGCAATAGCAGGCACTACTGATCCTTCTTTTTGCTTTAGGAAAGCTCCTACAGTAATACCCTGAGACAACTCTCAAGAACCACCTCTAATTGTTTGGTTCAAGAGCTTTTCTGTTTTTCCAAGCCCAGAAGGCTTGGAATGCCCTTCCGGAAGAAATTATCCATGAGGATCTGCCCTCTGAAATCTCACCTGTTCAAATGCAGCTCTCTTTTGGAAGAGATCAACATGTGGCTATAGCATGCAATAAAGCTGAAGTGTAATTGATTCTGTTCAAGCAGCTCGAGTGCATTACAGAAATCTTGACCGTAATTTTAATGCTGTCGCATGCCTCAATGCACCGGTGACTTGCAAAATCTTTTTCAGATCGACCTGGAGTTACCTCCCAGTTTGTACTCGGTGCACCCTTTCTGTAGTTACCACCCATTACTGTAGCTTCAGTCCTCTTCTGATCAAACTGAACTAATCTAATTTTTGATCTTCACTGCTATCCACAGCAGGTCTTATCTTGTCTCCAATTCACATTAATATTTACATTGCGCTCTGAGATATGAGATACTTCTCAGGGTAGCTATGTAGACAACCCTGCACTATTTCAGCAAGCTGCATTTGCCAGAACACGAATCTAAGTGACTTCATGACTTTAAAATAGGAAACACAATATTAGCCTTCAAAGTTGTGAGGGCACTTGTTTGAATGACATGTAGTGGCTGGGCGGGAGAACGGTTCTCTGGCATGTCTGCTGTGTGTCAGTTGTCCGCTGCATTGGGATTGTGATCTCATTCATCCAGACCACTCTGGAAACGTAGCCTCTGTTGCTGTGGTACCTCGGCCAGGCTGGGCAGGTTGTTGGAGATGGAAATATGGTAGTAAAGATGGGTGCTCAGGGTGGGGCAACGTGTTTTGGGAGGCAGAACGACTGGGATGCTGCATCAAAACAGATGGTATTAATTTACGAGGATGGAGCTTCCCCTTCGGAGGATGAGAAGCTTACATGACACAGATCAAAGTCCATCTCGCACAACCAAAAGCAGGACGCAACTGTGATCAAAGCACCGAGATCTGTCAGAGCACTCGCCACACTCGTTTTCTCTCTCTGGTCACACTTGGAGTTTCTTCTCTCTCCCTCACTCTCTCAAACCACAGTTTATGCAGATGTGTTGCAGCCGCAATATAGACTGTCATCTTTTTACTAAAAACCATCCAGTAGCTCACTCGCTGTGTAGGACCAAATGTAACGTAAAAACTTTGTGGTCCAAAGGCTCATTTTCCAAACCAATACACAATACACATAAACAAACCAATTAAGCCACTGAATGAAAGACCTAGTTCTCCTGCACAACACTAACACACATACAAATACAATCTGTACTCACATAGAGTCCGGTGTGCCGTTCTCCGAAGAAAGGGAAAGCCACGGAAATTGCTATCAGTCCTGATCCCCCATCATCTTGCTCGATGGTCTGGGAGTCACCTTCATCCAGCCCAAAAGGGTAGAACTCCTCCAGAGGTACAGCAGCCTCCATCCCATGAAGCAAAATAAGAAGCAAACACATGGAGAGCACTGGTCTCCTCAGCCACCCCATGACCTTGTCTGCACAGGGATGGAGAGGAGAGGACTAGGATCCTGGACACTCAGAGAGGGCAACAAGACAACTCCAATCACCAGTGCCAATGATATTCTCCTTGTCTTTCTTCTCCCTGTTTCTGTAAATGTTCCTCTTTTTGGTTTCTAATTCCACTCTTTGTTTCCTCTCAGATCTGCTCTGAGCCCTGGTACTTGTACTGTTGGTCTAAGACAAGGGGGTAGATTCTTTGCATTCTGTGTGCTGCTGGGTGCTCAAGAGCTGCCGTGCTCCGTGCCGCTCACTGAAATGAACAGAGTGAGAGAGAGAGAAAAAGAAGGAGAGGGAGCAGAGTGATTCGGCTCTATTTTTTTTTTTTTTTTTTTTTTTACAATCCAGTGACTTGGTCCCTGATGGTTAGTTTAGAAATATCCTCAATAAAACCTCTATTCTGCCTGCCAAAGGAGTTCTTTCAGACCCAGCCCCACCCCCCCAGGGATTCACTACCTTGCATGATTAAGAACTCTCATCCAATAGCTGAGAAGAGACCGGTAACTGGATAAGCACTGGGTGGAGCTATGGTAATCAAAGGGCTGCTTTAAAGAGACTCTGACAGGGCACTCTCCTCTACTCTTAACCTTTGCTGAAAAATACACTTACTCACAAGCATGTGTCTTGTGGGGTACAAACTACCACACGGGAGTGTAAGAGTTCCAGAACGGCATGTGATAGGATGCATATATAGTGCATTCCTTGCATAATTGTGCTCAAGAAGCCTGTTCAAGAGGAGGCAAATATACAAAAACCCTTTGGTTTGGACTAGAGATGTATTGAAGGCTTGCTTAGTCCTTGAATATCAATTTTCCTCCAAATTAATAATACAAGACAATAGATTTTAAATATTCCTGAAACAATTCCCCTAAAAATGAGGGAGTCTTTACACAGGGGGTCATTAGTAGTAGGAATCAAATCACGGAGCATTTGTGTGCACATCATATACACAAATTATCCAAAATATGCCAAAACCTGCTGACATCAAATTATTCAGATCACAAAAAATCAATCTGGGTATTATTTTTTTTGTTTGTTTATATGTTTTATTGACAGTTTTTAATAAGAGACACAGTATAATTCATGATTAAGAATCACTTTAACACCCAATAGAGAAACATCATATTACAACAACATTCTACATTTTCTATATATATCCTAAATAGAATAATACATTAGTAGGTAACTATGTGATTTGTAAATGTACATTTCTGAAATACATCATTTGGCTGCAGTCACCTCTAATAACAGATCACTCTAAATTGTAATGTAGACAACATACATTTTCTTGTAAAGCTGCTTTGAAACAATATGTATTGTGAAAAGCGCTATACAAATAAATGTGAATTGAATTGAAATTGTAGGTAAGATTTGATTCGTTCTCTGTCCCGATTCAGCTGTAATTTAGCTAAGACAAGATGATCTTATTCTCTAAATGGTTGTGTAATTAAATAATGATCACAGTAATTATTTAGGTTACAGAGTAGCAAGTTATAACAAAAGTAAAGAGAAAAAATATGTGGTTTGATAAACAGTTTGGGAACCTAGGGTGTGATGTTTTAGGTGGGTTCAGCGGTTTCAAACTGTGTGTGTGTGTGTGTGTCCTGATAAAACCAACATTATGGGGACAAAATGTACCCACAAAGTTGGCAATCTGAAATCCTTTTGGGACATTTTTGGATCCCATGAGAGAAACAGCTTATAAACCATACTAAGTGATGTTTTTTGAAAATGTAAAAATGCAAGTGTGTGTGTGGTGTTGAATTGAGACTAATGCTCTAAGATGAACAGGGATAGACTTAGGTAGATTTATCGTCTGTTTTTAACAGTTTGCAGAACAAATCTTTAAAACAATTTGGCAATTGAGAAGAATTTAGTGAAACAGTGATCTCTTTGTTTGTTGTTACTGGGTTTGTATGGTGTGGATCAGGATTACTTAAAGTATTTGTGCAAATTAAGTCCAACAATTCTCCCTGAGACCAGTGATTTTGTGTGTTTTTAAAACCAAAGTGTGTGAATCATGCCTGTGTAAGATTTCATTGTGGATATGCATGTAAGCACTGGCCTTGTTTCATTGGCCTTTGAGAGATTACAAGCAAAAAGCTGTCAGTTGGTCACCGTGGCCTGAATTCCCAAGCCATTTCGGGTTTTGTTAGAGCCCTAATCTATGCATTTGCTTCATATATGCTTGCCTCCTCTTCATCTCCTGCTCCAACTGTTCTTTCAGTGTGCAAACCTAAGAAACACACAACAGTTATTGCAATCGAATGTGATGTAAATGTACACTCTTATAATGCATGTGGTCACATCTTCATAGCTTTCTCAAACCTGTTCCTCCAAACAGTGGACCCTCTGGCGGTGAGCTTTCTCCCGTGCCTCCAGTGCTTTCTCTACCTGTTGCTGGGAGTTCCTCATCCGCTCTGACTCCAGGTCCAGCTCTTGCCTGAGGTGAGCTGTCACTTCCATGAGCCTCTGGGAGTGAGCCTGCTCCAATATAGAGATCTGGGACTGCAGAGACAACACATTATATCCCGTCACAGGCAAATCCAATACACAAACAAAAAGAGCTGGAAAAAGAAATATGAAACATTTTTGTATTATTAGCGGTGCTTTGTAAGATACTATAACTTTTGCTCACTTGGATAAACCCATAACCATGAGCATTACACTTTTTTCACACAGTTTTTGGGCTACAGGAATGAATAACACCTCAAAGCGTGTGGTTTCTTGAGAAGAAATGTACATCTATGTTTTGAAACAATCAGACTTTACCAAGTACCAATCAAAAATTTAGTGGACTAGATTGTGATCCATGCATTAAAAATGTCATAATACTCGTAAATATCTATATCACCTGTAGTGTGTGAATTTCAGCCTGTGTCTCGCTTAACTCTAGCTCTAGATTTTGTATTTTTTGTTCTTGCTGTTCTCTCTCACGCTCAGCATGCAGTACCTCGGCCTCCTTCCTTTGGCGATTCTGTTCCACCTGCACACAACACACCCGTGCGAACACTAAATGTATCAAGGATAGAAATCTGGTGTGAGATACAGTACTGTCACATGCTTTACATTCATGTATAGTTTTTGCAGCTTAAAGGGATACTCCACTTTTTTTGGAAATAGGCTCATTTTACAACTCCCCCAGAGTTAAACAGTTGGGTTTTACCGTTTTCGAATCCATTCAGACGATTTTCTGATATTTAGAAGAATATCAGTAAACAGACAGTTTCTGGTCTCATTGACTTCCATAGTATATTTTTTTCCTACTATGGAAGTCAATGAGATGGTAAAACCCAACAGTTTAACTCTGGGGGAGTTGTAAAATGAGCCTATTTCCAAAAAAAAAGGTGGAGTATCCCTTTAAGCTAAACCCATCAGGATGATTATATGTTTCACTCATACAGACACAAAATCTGCAAACAAGCTCTTATGCAAACTTACCTCAACCAATAATACTTACGGTAGTTTAAGGTACAGACAAGGCACTCTGATTGGTTTGTAGGGAGTAAACATCACAGATGAAATACACAACAAACTATATATGAAAGTCGTTGTGAGTCATAATGTGTTTATAATAGCATGACATGCACCTTCTCCAGGGTCCGTTTTAGAGAGGACCTGTCTTTTCCCAGACGCAGCAGTGTCCTCTCCAGCTCAGCTTTCTCTCCCTGCAGACGATCTGCAGTGGTTTGCAGGATAGCCACCTGCTCTTGAAGCTGATCCTTTTCTCCCTTTAGGGTTGCACACCTCTCTTGCGCCTCCTGCTCAGCCTGTTGCCTCCGTCTCACAGCCTAGAAAATCAGAAAAGATAGAATAGACACCATCTATATGGCTGTCACCAGAACTGGTTGAAGATCAACATAGATTTCTGGACTAGGAAGTTTCACATACAGGGCAAAAACTCGGAAGAGATAACAAGTTAGATAAGAGTAAGATAAGAAGTTAATGTTGAATTTCATTCAACTTTTTTAATAAAAATCTGTTTGTCAGTATATCACGGTCATGATAGTGTACTTGGTTGTGTTTTTTTTTTTTTTGGTTGTTTTTTTTTATTTTGTAGTTTTTACTGAATTTAAATTATTTAAAAAAAAATAAAAATAAAAAAACCTGCTACCCTATTGTGAAATGATTGGCTTTTCTAGTATTTGTTTGATACATGTACCTGCAAGGACCATATTATATTAAAGGGATAGTACACCCAAAAATGGAAATTCTATCAATTACTCACCTTCATGTCAATCCAAACCCTCAAGAGATCATCTTCAAAAACACAATTGAAGATATTTCTAATGAAACCTCAAATATGGTAAACGGAAGCGCAACCAAACATTCTTGATGGTTGATGGTACAAACCTCATTGATTCTCGCAGATCACGCAAGCACGTCCATTTGGACTTATTTGTATTTGCATTGATCAATATTTACAAATGGAAAAAAAGACTTGGTTCAACCCTCTCGATATGGATTTCTTTTACGATCTCTTTATGAAGTTTTTAAAACTTTAAAGTTTTGGTGTAATGGATTATAAATAGAGGAGCAGAAATCTCAGGTTTCATTAAAAATATCTTAATTTGTGTTGATGAATGAAAGTCTTGGAAAAAAATAAATAAATAAGGGTGAGTAAATGATTTTCACAGAATTTCCATTGTTGGGTGAACTAACCATTTAGAACAGTGTGTAAACTGTAAGAGTGTGTGTGTGTGTGTGTGCACAACCTCCTGCAGGCCACGTGTCTGTTTGTCGAGTTCGGAGACCCTGAGCTCAGACTCTTCCTGGCTTCTCTGCAGGCTCTGTAGTCTCTCACTCAAGCCATGATTTTGCTTCCTACCGTTTGTCAGAGCCTCCCGTGTCTTATCCAACCTCTCCTGCACACACATATACACCCAGACAAGTATGAACGGGCATCAATCCACACACGCATAATCAGACACCCACATACAGTTTTAATGAGGAAGCTGTACTTTTCCTCACTACTACCAATTGCCTGTCTTTTTATCCTTTCCCCCCCCACTCTCTCTTCCTCCTCTGGACCTCTTTTTATTGGCAAGAAGTGGCAGGTCTCAAGCAAACTGAAAAAGATTTACACTGAGGGCGCAGTGTTTTTGTTTGTACAGCATCTTTAAAACACAGACTCATACTAAGCCTTAAAAGCTCTCCAGAGGAGCCAGAGAAAATTAATGAGTTCAGTCCAGATTTTTATTGCACCGTCATCCAGCACCTTCAGGGAACAGACAGGAGCAAAGGTAAATACTTAAAAAAAAAAAAAAGTAAAATCTGGAAAAGTTATGGAAACCACAGCATAAATCACTACATATTGTGGCTGTGGTAGTAAGATGATCTGTGGTGTTTCAATTAAAGCTGTACGTGAAATGGGAGCGGTCCTGATTGTGCATGTGGCTGAACCACAACAAACTTAATAAGGTTGTTTGTGAGTTCATGATAAAGAAACATGATTGACAGTGTTTTTAATAAAGCCATGATAGAGAATTTGCTTTAACTTGTTTTTATCCAAGTTCCATCAAGTTGAGATGTTTGAGCTTGTCTTCTATTTTGCAGTTATATGATTTTTGCTGCTAGTATATTGCTGCTAGTAGGGCCAGTTGAATGATTTATTTGTGCATTTAGTTGTTTATTTATTTTTTGATTCATGTGCCCTTGGTTAACCTTCAATCTAAGCAACTTCCCCTCCCTCTTGCAATGACATCTCATCTCTTCTCTGATGACGCGTGTACTGGTGCAAGGGCAGGACAGCCAGTGACTCACATGAAATAGCAGCAATAGCAATGATCCAACAGTGCAATCAATTCCCGATGGACAAAATCAAGTCCCTCCCTAAATTAGTTGTTTTTTTTCAATTAGTCATCTCACAATAGGGAAGAAAAGACTGTCACAACTTCAGGGATTAATAAATGGCAGTTATCGAACTATAAAAGCCAAACTGACCTGCAGCATCTTCCGATCATGTTCGCTGGCTGTGAGAGCTCGCTGCAGTTGGGCGGCTTGATCCCGGGATGATCCTGCAGCAGTGTTGCTGTCGGTCAAGGATGCAGCCATGGCTTGCAGTTGCTCCCTCAACTGGCTCTCCTGAAGTTCTGCATGTGCCAAGGCAGTTGCCAGCCTCTCACCCTCAACCTACATTGGGAAACAGTGCTCTATTATATTGCTCAACATGAAACGTCCTTTTAGACACAGCGTGAACCCTCACACACCTTCAGGAGAGCAGCACACTCTTCGCTGTCTCCCAGCTCTCTGCGGAGGTTGTTGAGGCGTTCCTGCAGTGAGCTGACCTCCGCCTCCGTCTCTGAGGCTCGAAGCTGGGCACGCTGCAGCTCTCCCTCCAACCCCGTCGTGAGCTCCAGCCTGGCAGCTCGCGCTTCCGTGGCTTCACAGATCTGCTTCATTCGACGGCGCTCGCCTCCAGACTTTCCCCAGAGGCCTGGAGCGCTCCAGCTTCTCCTGAATACAGTGTATTTGTACCGATAATATGACTTCCTAAAGAGCACCTCATCAGAGATTCTTTATTGTTAAAAGATTTTTGATGATAACAAATGCATCTGTTTTATTGTGTTCAATTGAGACCCTCACTTCTGTGAAGCCTTGAGGCTGAAACCATTTTTAAACCATTTTTGTGTTACTGTAGACTGTTTTAACCTGCAGTGCTTTGGCCTCTGCCTCAGTTATCTGTTGGCTGATGTTCATTTTGTCCAACTCTTCACTCAGCATCCTATTCTGTATTTCTCCACGCTGAACTGCCTCATCCTGTAAGGCGAGTGATGCTTGCATCCCCTCTAAAATGCTTGGCCAGCTCACGCTTTCCTGCAAACACACGCCCACACATACACACCCATGTTAATCAAAAACAGAGAGCAGTACCCAAGTGTTGGGATAGAGTTCCTTCTTACCCTCTTCAAGCTCTCTGATAGATTGTTTCAGCATCTGTATACGTGTGTTGCTTCTCTCCTGACTGGCCTGCAAATTTTCTACCTGCTTGCTGAGACTATGCACCTGTGCCTGGGATTCATCCTACAATCACACAATCAGGGAGAGAAGGATGTTTTATTCATATGTTCATTGTTCTTGTTACACGTTGTGTTGTTTGTGATCCTTCATTGTGTGTGCCTATATGGACTATAGTTTCGTCCATTGAGATAATGGTCATTTTCAAAACCAAAAAAACGTTTGTATGGTTATATCCTACAAATATTGGAAGAAAATGGAAGTGTATACCATAGATCCAAATGAGCAAAAAATCCCAAACAAGCTATGTAGGTTATACTATATAGTATTTATGTTGACTTCTTTTTATGATGCGTCTTTGTCCTTTGTGGTGATGTAGTGGTGTCAGGTACCCGCTCTCTCTGTGTGTCCCTGAGCTCTTGCTGGAAGCTACGCAGCAACATCTGAAGTGAGTCCAGATCCAACTCTCTATCCTCACCGTGGGAGGGGGACAGAGAACACACAGGCGACCCACCCACCCCAGGCTGTTCTGACATGATTTCACCTGAGGGCATATGCACAAATTTCCATTTAATTCTTTTGACTTGTAATTTAGAACACCAAGTACGTTAGAGCAGACCATTGTTTAAAGAGCCCCTATCATAGCATTTGAAATGTTCCTATTTTTGTTTTAGGAGTTCCCAAAAACAGTTTAAAATGCATGCAAGGATAAAAAACACTTTATTTGTCTTATAATATGCATTTATTTTTAACTGATTTGCTCAACGACTCCCAAATGATTTG